ACTTTGATTAGAGTCACACTTTTGGTGTTGCCTAGAAGGGTAACGAAACATCTGCACACCATAGAACAACTGGCTCGGCGAGCTAACAACTGCATCCACAACCTGAGCTACAAATTTTCACTAAGTGCGTAAACGTGGGTTGTATGCCCTTGAAGTTTGAGGAAAAGTCTAATTAAATGCTTTCAAAATTATTAATTTGGTTTATACTGAGAAATTATTTCCTGTAGTGTCAAATCCATTCATCTTAAAATTAGAGCTAAACCATTTAGGAGTGAAATAGCATTGCCTATTTCTGATCTTAATTAGAAGTAATATGGACAACAAATCCCACTGCAAACAATTTTCTGAAAAGGTAAGCCTCAGTCTTAAACGTAGAACTTGGAAAACAATTATATCTCAAGTGTTAATCTGCTTACCCTGTTCAACCATTCAACTCTTTCAATATCTGGAAAATGAACCTAAAAGGAGGAAGAACAAAAAAAGTTCATATAAATAAACTGAAATGTCAGAGAAATAAGGTAGAATCAACTTTGAAATATACTTTAGTGATATTCCATCAGTGTGCACCTACGTCCAGATTCTTTGTCATTCCTCCCCTCAATTTCTCCCTCACAAGTGATCTATATTCTTACTCTAGCCAAGACTGCATGGCTGAATAACTTTTTATTGACTGTTGATATCCATGACGTTAATACATTTGGCAATAGTATCCCTGAAAACATTGGTTTTGTTCATACCTAATAATCAAGTAAAAATAAATTTCAATCAGAGTTAAATCCCCACAGACACCACCTCCTCCCAAGTGCTGCCCTTCTGGGCTATGGCCCAGATTTTGTCAGGGTTTTCTCTAATCCATAGACCTTTAAAAGTATTAGCTTAGACCTGGATGCAGAATTCCCATTCCAATTTTGTCAGATCCAACTTTTGTTGGCAGAAGAACAGATGGGAACAGATAGGTAGATAAGCTTGAATGTGGTGGGACTATTTGGACGGAATTGTGATTTCAAACAGACATCATTTTGTGTTGCAAAGTCCTTTACCCACGGTTAATAGATATAAAATGCTTGTGAAGGTCAGATAAGGTCTATTAAACAGTGACAATCTGACATTTTTTAAAACAATTCACTCTAAATACTGAAAAACAAGACAGCAGCTATCAGTGAAAGGTTCTTTTTAATCGTGAACTATTTGATTGACAGACCATATGGTGTATATTCGGGGAGAAAAAAAAAAGATGTTGGCACCTGTTGTTGCAGTTTCAGTAGAGCAAATATCAGCAAAGAGTCTAGGGACATTGTTATGAATGTCAGGCCAAAGTTCAAAAGCTGTAATTGTTTTAGCCAGGGGAGTTCACAAATTTATTCTCAATTTCAAAAGGTTGCTAAAGGATTAGTGGTCTTTAATGTGGATCTGATTTCTTACATTAAACGTGAGTAATTTGAGGAGATTTGAAAACTTTGGTCTGAAATCATGACTGAGCTTTTTCGCCATTAAATGTGCATAAGTGAGAATTATATTTCATTATTAGAAGTATAGGTCATGTACACATGCCTCCTGCCTCTAACCCATCCCGTGCCCTGGAGAAAGAATTGCCAAAAACTGGTGCACTTATTACTGAGGTGGATTGTTGATAGCAAAATTCCACTCCAACACTGTAGCAGAGAATCACTTCAATCATGCACAAGTGTTCTGCAGATTTGATTAGATTGGACCACATTTAATCATATTACACGAGTTAAATTTTCATGTAAGTAAGGAAACACTTTTTGGGACACGATTGGATTTTTTTTTTCTGATTTCCCTCTACAATCCCAACCTAAAGTCATTTTCTTGTGGCCATTTTATGGATCAGAAATGCTAGACTACCCGTGGAGGTCTGGTTCCCCATTTAAAACTGGGGTCATAAAGAAGAGTTCCTTTCACACAATTTTCACCAAGTGTTGTCAGCAGGCTGGGTTCGAAGGTTTGTGAAAAAAAAAGAATAAGCAGCCTGGTGAGGGGTCTGGAAATTTCAAAATTTTATTTTGGAAAGCAATTTTATACTTTTAATAATCACTCTCGGGTGTCATATTGCAGTACAAATGTGTTTTTTAACACAATTATCCATCACAGGGTCTGTCCTGCAAAGTTATACTCACATCAATCAACTTTGTACATTCAAAATGGTTCTCTTGGCCTTTCCAATACAGCAAAACCAAACGGCATTGAAAATTGTTCCAAAATGTCCTGTCTACCTCGTATTGAGATTTGTTCTACTTTGCTTTAAAGGAGTCTGGATGATTAAAATGAAAATTATGCTCAAATCTTGTGATCTGCCTCAGAATCCTAATTTCTAATATACAGCAAACAAGTGACAAAGTTACTTCTAATTTTTTGGCTTATCTTCCTATATAGGTTCCTACAGAACTTGTGCTGGAATCCTTGCAGAGAACAGCACAGAGAATCTGTATAAAAGTCACTCTCCTTTTCACAGCAGTAGCTGCTGTATTTTGGTGACTGTTGATAGCGTAAACTACTTTAAGATGCAATGGAATATATTTAAATGTGTAACATTTGTGGGTGAAGGGTAAGTGGTAATCAGGTCAGCTCAGCTCACAGATGTAGTTAAGTGATGATGTAGTCAGATCCAGTTGGTGAGGGAGCAAGAGCTCAGTGTACAGTTACCCAGGAATTCAAACTGGTTTTTAATTCATCTAAATATTGCTGATGGTAACTAACCAGCTAAGGGAGTCAGAACTTACCAAACTCTCGAATTCTAACTCGGAGCTGGAGACATTTTCAGAGGACCCAGACACAATGATTGCCAATCAGAAATTTAAGCTTCCTGACCAATTCCCACATAGTTGCTGAATTAGGACTTTGAACGGGTCCTGCAGTACATCACATGGGGTACATTTGGTTTCTGACCATCCAGATACTGAAAGATCTGGGCATTGGCTTTTGGCACATGGGTGGGGGTGGTGGTGGTGGAGGAAGACTCTAACCACTTATTCCCTTACATTGACTAACACACACTGCTTTGAAATTGAAATGAACATATTCCAATCTTTGCTTCCTCAAACGTCATTCAATGGTTGGGCAGCTGTTGCCTTTTGGATTGAGGTTCAATTTCTAACCGGTTTCACTGCAGCAGATGTGACATTCATTTGTGAACAAATGTTAGTTTCAAAGGGCAGCAAATTGTCCTTTTGATCTGGTCTGTTGACAAAAACTAATTGGAATTACAAATGTTGTTTCTGAAATGCATTTCAGAATATATATTTTCTCAGCATTCTTGTTAAGGAAGTTATTAAAGTGAGATGTTCATTTTCTCTGGGAATGTATTTTTTTTTAACCCCCATTGATATCAGATTGAGAGCTGTACATAGTGATCAGTGGATGAGCGGTTAGGATCTCTAAGCACATAGATGGCATCAGGTGATACGCGAGATCCAATAACTAGTAGAGGACACATGACCATATAGAATGGCATGGGTGATTGCAGGGGGTATGAACTGGCATGGGGGGGTGGAGTGAGGTGTAAAGTTTTGGACACTAGAATCACCCCCTTTCGCACATGTGAAACCCCACATGGATCAGGTGTGCAGTTTGTGAGCCACAAAAAATTGTGCAGATCAGCATTTTTGCAAACACAACAATATTCAAACTGATGTTTCTGACTAATCATAATCACTGCAATCATTTTTTTCCACCTTCCTTATGCTATTCAGCTGTAAGTGCTCAAAAAGAGAGGCTGCCTATTTTTCAGGAACGAACTAAATTGTCAAACTAAAGCAGAGGACAAAAGAAAGTGTTCGGTGTGTGTATTTCCTTGATACCCATAAAGATCTGCAGGGAAAAACAATGAACTAGAATTGTCCAGAATGTTTTGGCATAATTATGATCAAATTGAGTGACTTTGGGCATTTTATTTGAGGAATCTTGCGCTGCATCCAACAATATACCTACTGAAACCCTATATCAGTTATTTATATAGCTCCATCCTTGTGCAAAATGCACATTCATATAACATTTCCTGAATTTATTCAAACAGTGTCTCAGATTTTGTGACTGTAATGATTACAAGTCTGCCAACATTTATGATCATTATTCCTTTAAAAAAAAATCTGGCATTTTTATTCTCGAATGTGGAAATCCAGATGTTGCTGCCAGTAATTCTACACTTTTCTAGAGATTGGAGCTTTGAATTCCAGTCTTCAAGTCACTCAACCAACATGAACTTGTCTTCTTACACTATTTATCTCTTTGTAGAAAAAAAAATCACATTGTTGAAGGAGGCACAGCCTTCTTTGTAATGGTATCATAAGTTCAAGCTTACTGAGTAGCGTCACTGATCCTGAAAAGCTAATTTTCAACTTGCTGCATTTCAAATTTCTCAGAAATAAAATAATTCACATTAAGGGTTTTTCTAACAAGGTTTGACATTTCAAGATTCCATTTTAATCCCATGTGCATATCCATGTTATTTATGTTAAATTTTACAGAGAACTAAATGAAGGTTAATACATGTACTTTACTTGCAGTTAGCTGTCTGCAAAAATACTTCAGAAAGGTGACTAGTTACTTAACCCGCTAATGGCATCATTGCTGGCTGGCTGCCTAGGCATCCAGTTTCTTAGATTCAAACTAATACCGTGATGGAAACATCCCAGCCACAGGAAATTACAACTTTGGTAGGCAGTTTTATTTGAAGTCAGTGGTAAGTGGTGTCACTTCATTGCTGTAGAAAATCTAAAACTTTTATTGGTTTAGAATTATGTCTCATAACTGATTTGTCATCTGGGTCAACAAAAACTGAATTTCTGGAGTTTGACAGTAATTCCCTGCATTTTCTAAAACAAATATTTGTTGGTTAAGTATAACGTTAACTCCAAAAGGTCCAAGACTATTAGTCTCCATACAGTTGCAACTCCACTGAATCAGCCTTTTCAATGGCAATAGCCTAGTTTGTGAAGTTGGAAAATGGAACAGAATGGGCAAAAGGGATGGATAGTGAGGTCCTTCAGTCAAAGAAAGCACCCAAGTCACAACTGCCCCTAAATCTGGTGTAAACTGAGTACAGATATACATTCTGATTTAGGCAAATGACATACTGCAGACATCTTATTTTTGGCATAAATTTGATTGGCAAGATCAGTAGAGACTATTCAAATTTTACACCATTTCTTCAAAGTGCAGCCTGTGGTCAATATTAGCTTGAAATAACCAATATCATGTCTATACCGTCTTGATGTGAATCACCCAGCATAAACAAGACATCCAAGTTTAACAGACAAAATTATAAAGATGACATAGTGTAATAGGTTAATACACAACAGCTTAATGGTGTCTCTGGGCAGGGTTTCTTGGGGAACACATCCCTGTGAATCACCGATTCAGCCTCATACACATTTAATACTCCCAGGGGCAGTAACTGACAGCAGACAAGGCTTTGGCCCCTCACTCAATCCAATCGGCT